TTGTTGTACCATACCATACCAACATTGAGATAATCTCATCAAGGAAAGGAACTATTTATGACACGTTTCACCATGAACTGTTTGGTCCCAGTCAAAATACAAGAAGTAATGGAAGATGCAGGATCATGTTTCATTAATCTGGTAGATGTTCTAAAGTTAAAATCCTCCACCTGTAGGTAGTGTTGTCATTTTTTAAGATGTCTGGGTATTAAAGTGGTAGGTATAGATTGTTAGTTGAGTAATGTAGCCCCTTTTTGTAACAAAGTGCACTCCAAAGTATGATTCATCAAAGTACTTATAAATCTTTGGCCAAAAACTAAAGTATGAAAAAAAAATTTAAACAGAGATAGATGTTTGTCAACTCATTGTGTGGTATGTTTTTCATGTTTAATAGTCCTTGTAGAATGTTATATGAACATGAATAAACTGATGAGTGATTGCAGTTTTCTGGTTGTGTGTATTCTGTTTGCAGTTCTATCAATATACTGAACCAGGGATAATGGAAAAAGTAAGTATGCAGGGATGATTGGGTTTTGGAACATAATTGCCTCCATAATTGTATAACCTGTTGTTCAATACAATGACACATTCCTTGGGACTACTGTGCCACAAAATGTCAAGCTCGTGGCAAGAAAGGCTTTGCAAGATTTTACTTGTATCCAAAACTGTACTGCAGCACCATCTACCAGCTTAAAATAAAACAGCAGGGCAGACTCCACTGAGGGTCCTTGTGGCTCCCAATATGCACAATGCAGAATTGCAGTATATCCTCTGCACTGCTTTATCGAGCAGAGACTAGTGGCCAGGCCCACCAACACAGTGTCTTAGCCCAGAAGAGATTACTTTTTGTGGGAATGGAAGGATTGTAAGCAGTATAGGAAATGGGTTCAAGTCCTCATCTCATTTTCTTTATTGAGCAGGCATAAAAGGGAAAGCTGATCATTCTTTTTTAGATCCCCATTTTTCTCCATTCTGCTTTTGTATACAAGATGTACATGTATAATCATGCATCAGTTACGTGCACCAGGGCTGACTTGTCAGCATGGCACATGGATTTCAGATGGTGACTTACAGAAATGCACAAGCTGTTATTTGTTCCACTCAACTTGATATGATAATGTTATTGATTGAAGCAATGCCCTTACACAAACAACCATAAATATATACATAAGTCATGATTCAAACCTGACAGGAATAGAAAGACATACAAAAGAGATCTTGTAAAAATGTAGATGTATTTTCACTCTATGTACAAGGTACTCTAGTAACAGTGTACGAACTGTTGTAATATAAACCCAACATGCTCTAATACACTCAATAGAAATCATTAGGATTACAACATATTTCCTGAGAAGAAACCATTCAATAACACACCTATTAACAACCCAATTTGACAAACACAGGCTCTACCCAGTTCATGTTTGCATTCAACTGCATGTTTTCAGAACAACTGCAAACAGAAGTCTTGTAATAAAGCATCATCATGAAACTGATGTATTTTATACATTTCTGATAAGCACTTTATACATTTCTATAAATTTTCTCATTAAGTACAACATAATGTTTCAAATGTTCTGATAAAATCAGCCAAGTCAGCTGTACATATTCCTAAAATGGGGATTTTTAAAAGACTGAATAGTATGATTTTTGCCATAAAAGTGATATTACAAATACAAGAACATGGGAAAAAACACTGCAGCTTAGCACCAGCAATAGCTGCTTGTCAACTGTACCTTGAGTCTTGACCACACCTCAATGATTTTGCTATAGTTTGATGCACGTTCCATAATTTCCATTCCACAAATGCAAAAGCATTTATGAAATATTCTTTTATACCCTCTACCATTAAAAGTCACAATTAATGTTAACATACAATCTAAGTACAGAGTGGGTATAATGCAGATCAAGTATTCCTAACCTTAGATTTAAATTCTCAACAGTCAAGAGCATAATACTGACCACACAAATGTGACATTATATGGTATTTGATACTACGCCATTGCCTACGTTGGATATAAACATGCTAGATGGAGGTTTCCACGTATTAGTATTAATGCCATTACCTTACGGGGATACATTTACATCCTTCCTATCTGGAGGTGTTGAGCAGTACAGGTGTTTTGATTTACCTGTCCACAGGTGTGTAAGGGAACACCTTGGTGACAGTACCGATACCTTTGGTCCTGCCCTCCCTGAACAGCAGCCTGGTGCCCTCCCGCAGGTACTCGGGATGCTTGACAAACCTGAAGCGCATGTGTCTCTTCTGATTGATGGTGATGTAACCCTGGAAGAGAGTTGGCAGGTATAGGTTACACAGGAAGAGTATGATTATGAAGACAACGTATGTCCTCTGCATTTCTCTTGCCATTTCATGTGTTGTATGGAAATCTATGTACCAGAATGATACTTACATCCTCCACTTCGTCAATGATAGCAGTCTGGCAGACATTCCCCACATGGACGGTAGTCTGGAAGCCCTTACAGATGTAGGTTGTGTGGAACAGCAGCAGGACCTCTGCCTCAAACTCCAGACATGACACAGGCTGCAGCTCAGGGCTCAGCAGTACCATGCCCTGTAGCACAATCACACAACATTACACACAAGAAGTTGAACATAGCACATGGTGGCTACGGCAGCTCATAGGGGACAGAAGTATCATCTAGAAATCATAAAAAAGGGCTAGAAACAACCAGAAACAAGCATACCTTTCTGAGAACAGTCCTGTCCA